GACCATGAATATTTCTAGGAATAAAATAAAAAAATGTTGTAGAATTGATTAAACCTATTGTGCTACGAATAATTAGCTACTGTTTTCTCTCACAACGGCGAAACAAAACAACCCCACCTACAACAACACTAAGAACAAAAACACCATGATGGAGCTTTGGATGTACAATTAGGTGTTGATATTGAATTAGGTGCTGATATTGTAAGAGTCAATATTGTTGCTTTGCCTATTTTTGAGGAGTTGGGAGCTAGTCCTGGGATGTCCGAGAGTGATTGGCATGTTAAGTCTCCTGGGATTTCTTATTACAGTCAGGAAGAAAGGTTACGAGAAAGCAGAAAGATATCTACCCAACCCTTTAACTCCCAAGATCTCAAGAGTAATTCTCTTTACTGTCTGACATATAGTTCTTATGATGTCAATTTGGAGAATTTGGCATTGGATCAACTAATAATCCCCTAATTTATATTTTACTTTATTCTCTTCTCTTCTATGCTTGATATTGTATTGATATTGTAAGGAGAAATTCTCTCACTCATGGGAGGGAAAGGGTGAAGAGTATGGTCTCTAAAAGATCAGATCGTGGGTATGAAAGAGTGAATCGGCGATAAGGTAGTATGTAAACCTCGGCTGTGAAGTCCACAGGGGAGCTCTTTGACCTCTTTGGTACGAAGGTAGCTTTTTACTGCAGAATATTTTGTGGTAAATTGAGTTAAAAATATCTTATTTGTCCTACAGAAACGAAATCATGGTACTTTTGTCTCGAGAAGACATCTTTTCCTCCCGCAATAATTTATCTCTGCACGAAGAAGAGCTTGACGTGAACAGGTTGGATTACTACCAGGTGAACACCAGGAATTGCAGATCAAACGCATCAGTTAAACGATTAAACACGTTAATTACATAAAACAATAATTTCACCACGAACAAGATAATTATGCATAAGGATTGTTCATTACCGAGGGAAAAAGGAAACAGTTTTGTCCCCCACGAGGGGTCAAATTGGTTTTCGTGTTCGCATGCTTCTCCTCAGAGCCACAGATAAATCAATTAGATCAATGAGTTAGACCATAACCTACAGGCACGTTTAATAAACGTTCTGTCTACGGCTAGGATTAGCAATAGTGGAAGTCTAGTGTGTGTTAATTCAGTAGCAAAGATGGTGATGTGATTTTTTATCTTGCTGCTTTTATTTTTTTTTTTATCTTGAGTTCGATTCCTCGCGGGGGGACCTGGATTTGTTTGTTGTTCCACATTTATGATCAAACTAGTGACAGTTTTTTTCGTTAATCGTTTATCAACTGATGAAATACCATCGAATATACATTTTGCAATACTGTAAGATAAGTTTGTACACGGCTAACTTTCTTTCTAGCGTAGTGTTTCCACTGAATTCCTTCTCTCCATGCTGTTGTAGATGCACCAGGGGTATCATCGTGATGCTGAAGGACTAAATGCCCAGTTGGAGCGTTACGCTGGGGAGCCGCGTTTCCAAGAGATTTTTATTGATCTGGTATGTAACGCATTCAAAAAGATTATTGTCAACCGTGTAGAGTTACAAAAAAGAGGGCATATTGACGTGTTTTCCTGCTCTCAGCGACAGTAAGATGTCACTTGGTTACATCGCAAATATCTTCACTTGTTATCAGGGCTTCTATTCATTCTCTTGTAAGTTAAACGTTTTCGGAATTAGAAGGCCATTTGATGGGTTTTTCCTGCTCTTAGCTATACTATCACATTACCTTTCTCCGTTCAGGAGTGACAGTGGGTACTGGCAAATTGTCGAGGAAACATAGCAAAGAATTGGTTATTACGTGAGATGGAGACCATCCAACCAAGGGAAAGGTTCAGTAACCTTACGCGCTTCATGTAGCGAAAACCGGGATAAGCTCTGGCCTTTATTGGCGATCGTTTCGTTGTTAAGACTAAACAAACTTTAACAGTGTTATTTTCTCTGTTTTAATTATTTCCAGTCTCCTTATGTGAACCACTCGGCCCCAACTGTTCAGGAGACATTCTCTCTTCACCGAACGTATATTATATTCCGAACACTAGGGTTGAGGTATGTGGTAGTCTAGAATTGAAATATTTCAACTAATATGATTAAGCCTATTCATCTCTTCACCGTTTGGAAAATTTAAAAGTCAGTGAGCTATCTCCTCCTTTACCCGCCGGGCCTGCCCCCTACCCCCGAGAACTTACTGATGCGCTTACGATATCTCGGTACGAAAAACTTATTTGGATTAACTTTGTATGAATTCTCTTTCTTTTTTCACAGGCATTTGACGGTTGTAGACCAAAAGAATAGGTTTGTCGTAAACTATAAAACTAATTTCTTTTCTTCTTAGCCGAGTATGACTATCATCAGCGACACAATTTTTTTAAAATTTTGCATTGTCAGATGTAGAAGTTTTTCCAGCTTTTTTTGTCAAATGAATTGCGTCTTGCGTTTCGCCTAAAACAAGGCATCAGAATTTCGTCACCTAATCGGTTTTTTCCTTTATTGTTTAGTTGTTTCCTCGTTATCTTAGTTTTTCCAGCAGATAAATTGGTTAGAACATATAATCCTTCCAAAATATTTTCCGTAAGAGACATCGCCGCCTCCTGTGCATCGTAATAAAGAATTCAGTTGAATTTTAACAGTTTGCTACTTTCAATCTGCTTTGATTTTTTCTATCGTCGGCCATCTTTGTGTCTCTGTAGCTCCATTACGGTGCACCGCGTTGAAGTTCATCTAAGTTACTCTAATCTTTTGTCTTGCCTTAGGGTGCGGGGAATAATTACGCGTAAAGACCTCATGGGATTCCAGATGGAGGAACGAATTCACAAGTGTCTTCACAACCCGCACCAGGCCCAAGAAATGCAGTCACCGAGCTCTTCATCAGGGCACCGGCCGAGCGTAGAGGCTTGAAGCGACTCCTGTTAATTTTCAGTTTGATCGATTGGACTAGACATTTCGCGTTTGGTTCGCGTTTGCGAACCACCTTAACAGTGGATCAGTCACAGGCAAATCTAAAACCAATCGCGACCTTATGACTCACGTTTTCTTGCGCCTCACGAAGTTGGGTCGTTTTTAACCAGATTTTTTTCCATTGACGCCTATTGATATTTTCCTTCGTTTTGATTGGCTGTTGCGATTACTTCGTTTTCGGTTTTTCTGCGCAGCCAATCGACAAGTGTGTGCTAATGATGCAAACTTGTTCTCCTTACAAATTCATCACTGCGAAAACTAAGGGAAAGTTTAGGAATCAAATTTGGAAACCTGTCCCTAAGGAATTAGGCTGACAAGAGGAAGGAATAAAGTAAGCTGATGCTACATTTACTTTAGCAAAGTTTGCTTGTCCAATGACAGTTCACACACCCGTAGGTGATCAATATATCGTGTTTTCTGATTGAAGGGTTTAAGTAAGAGAGGACGTTGTTCTTAGTGTTTTCCTTTGAAAAGCAATGGAAAGTATCATGTACTCTTTATTCGTAAGGTTGTTCAACTTGTAGACAAAACTTGAAATGACTATGGCCAACGCATTGATGTAATTTGAGATTTAGTAATGGATAGATATTTTGATATTTTTATTAGTTTACTCTGAGATTGGTCTAAAAATGTTGTATTAGTCGTGAAAAACTGGCAAAATTATTTTTTTAAGGTTTAGAAAAGTTTATAATATCGCCAGGTATTTACTGTTATACCTGTTTTACGAAAGAAAGAAAAATAAGAATTGAATAGTTGAAAAAGTGAATTATGTTTAGAGTTATTTTATCTTGTAAGTTTTACACAAACGAAATCATACTTTTTCTAGTTCAGATAGAATGGAATTAATCATTTTTTTATGTATTCATCAATTGTATATTTAGATCGGGGGAAAAAGCTATTATGTGGCTTCATATAAGAACAAATATTAGGGATTGTTATAAATGAAGCAAATAAATTGCTGGAAGTATTCAGAAAGCAGTTGCTTATGACATGATGGTAGGATTTTTGAGAGCTTTCGGAAAATCTTCTTGGGAGATTCTCCGGGGATTCTGGTGCGGTTAGCAATCTCTGGGGAAAACTGTGGACTTAGATCGTTCAAAAAGATTTGAACATTCCTTCCTGTGCAGTTAGCTTTTACCCCTTGACTGTTTTTGAAATGTACTTGTAAATGGTGATAGGTTCTCAATCTAATACCGGCGTGAGAGTATGTAAGCAGTCATATCACCCACGGCTTCGCTCTGAGAAAGGGCTAACGCTCTAAACGTCATCTTAGAAACTCTTTACTGTGGCGAATTTACATTACCAATTGAGTTGACGAAACCAAATTATCCTTGTTAGCAGTCAGTTTGGGAGTGACTATGGAAAGATTAAGGAGAGGCTGACTTTTGAATACGGGGAGACTATGACTACGGAGTGACTATGGAGAGACTGACAAATGACTACAGGAAGACTATGACTAGTGACTACAGGGAGGCTATGACTAGTGACTATGGAAAGACTATGACCGGTATCTACGGGGAGACTGTGACTAGTGACTATGGAGAGACTATGACTTTTGACTATGGGAAAACTATTACTAATAACCGTGGAGAGAAGACGACTTTTGACTATCGGGAGATGACTAATGACTACTGGGAGACTATGACTAGTGACTACTGGTAGACTCTGACTAGTGACTACTGGGAGACTGACCAGTGACTACTGGGAGACTATGACTTGTGACCACGGGGAGACTGTGACTAGTGACTACGGGGAGACTGTAACTAGTGACTACGGGGAGACTATGACTTTTGACTAGGTGAAGCGTATGACTAGTGACTATGGAGAAAGTGAAAATATTAGGATACCCCACAAGTTGTCTGTTTTCAGGGAAATTTCATAGCCGCGGGTTTTCATTTGAAGGGAATATAAAACGATAACGCAGTTTTTTTCGTAATTTAGGAGTATTTTATTTTATGACGTGTCACAACCTACTCCTAAGGAACATTATGTCAAATACTTAACCCCTCATTTTCGAAAACAATTGGAACTTTTACTCTCTTATTTTGTACACATGATAGGTTCCCTTCTCTCCCACTCCATTCCAACAGTTTTCGGAAGGTCCGTACTTATTGTACGTGTTTTCGGCGTCCAGTCCACTCCAACATTCGCCGTAAAACTGGATTCCAAATACGGGAAGGCCACGCTCTTTGGCGATCTCTGCGCATGCTCGAACGACTTTCGTCATGTCATTCCAATCGATATTGTTTCGGAAGCTTTTTAGTAGTAACGGGAGGGCGTGGGGAGTACTGTCTTTAAAACAACCAAGTGAATTGTACTCAACTGAAAGGAAATTGTACCAAATCAGTAAGTTTCTTGATAAGTAATTCTTATGTGACTTAGCTCCATTAGCTTCCTTCGTATAAATCTTCAATTCGCAAACCTGGACAATCATGAGTATTGCATGCTCTTGTTTCAATATTTGAACCAGGGCACACGCTGTCACAAGTTGTAGAGTTGATCGGCAGGAGCCCAACACACACACGCATGCGTTTTTGGACACCAGGACCACCACAAGTCTTACTACATGGGTACCAGTCTCCCCACTTGCTCCATCCGAGGTATGCTGAAAAATAAAAATATATGTAAATAATGATAATAATGCACAGCGTAGAATTTATTTTTCCCTCAGTAAAATGTGATTGGTGTCAAAATTGAAGTAATTGTAATCAATACCGGTAAAGGGAAGATGATTTGTTTAATTAAACTAGACTCTAATGTTGACTTCCTCTTAAGGTTGTCAAAACGTCAGTCACTGCTACCGACAGCAATCCTTTTTGGAACTACTCTCTCAAAGAAGATCAGACCACATGAACAAGTTTTACTCCTGACCTGGATTCAAACCATCTATGTTACACACAGATAATACGAAACGTTGAAACTAGGTTCACTACTCAAGACTGTGGATTGTTCAAAAAGAAATTGTGACAGCGTCTTGAGGAGCAGATGTGTGCTTACAGTAACAATTATATTTCTGATGTCATTTTTTTTCTCAATTTTATTAGATAGAGTTCCCCACGACAAGTATTATTTTGCATACCATTGTTAAGTCCAAATATTAATCATGATCCTCAGCCAAGGCTTGTTTTTCAGGGTAATTGTATAAATAACAAGTAGCTTAGTGAAACATCCTGCTAATCCGATAAGATTAAAATCGTTCTTCACAATTTTTCGAACAAAAATGAAAAATTCTTTTTCATTAAATCAGCGCGAAAGAAGTGGATTAGTAGACTTTCCCTTAAAATAAAGCTTTTCTCTTCAATCAGTTTTATCAGAATTGACTGATGTAATTGAAATAGATCTTTTATTATCCTTGACACCTCTTAACATGTCTGCACTGGCTTACTGAGAGAACGGCGGGCACCTGCATGGAAATTTTTACACCGATAATGAACATGTAGCAACTCGAACATTGGAATAAAACTTACTTATCATCTAGAGATTATGATCCAAGTTTACTTAAATTGTAAAGGGGAAAAAAGGAATTTAAGTTTTAAAGGAATCTTACGTTATGTAACTAAAATTAATTTCATAGTGTGCTGACCTGTTTCGCAACAGTCACCGATGTAGTTAAGCGGACACTGGCAGCCCCATCGAGCGGGGGTCCCGCCATTTTGACACCAACGATTGCATGGTCGCCACTCCCTTTGCTATTAAATTCTGACACGATCCAGCACCACATGACGACGGCTGATGCACGACCCTATTTCTTGACTGATAGCCGTTTAACCCACACGGAGCTGAACACTGGTTCCATGTGGTCCACTGACTTGTTACGCACTTGTCGCATCGCGGTGCATCACACATCCAACATGATTGCTTTTTGAAATGGTCGAGAATTCGCTTCGACATGAAAGTGGCAAAGATACAACAGACAAACCAGTGATATAATCAAAGTAAGGTGGGAAACCATTTTTCAGTTTCAAAACTCAGATGGTTTGGTTTGAGAATAAGAAAGGTACTAGACACAACGTGTGATCCCAACACTTGATTTGTTTGATCTTTTTGATTACTTCCTCAAATCGAGTCGTAATGTTTAGTTATTATATTTTTCGTGATTAAACACTTATCATTTTATATCAGAAGTGTCCTTTACGTTGAATTTCATATGCAAAAATTTGACCAATTAACAGAAGATTACCTGAAATTTAATTAATTTGCCTCTTTATAAAGGAAACAATCGATGCTTGGAACGATGCATTTTAAAAATCAAAACGTGGAGAGGTTTATATAAGTGTAGGAGCCAAAATGAAAGAAGTTGACGTTTTTCATACAAAATGTCTTTATCGACGCTCGAAGTCACCTTTGTTCAAGCTGGTTTCCAGTTTCTTTCCCCACTCGCAAGAAGA